AGTTATTCAGACTGTGAATAACTATATTGAATAATCTCTTAAGAATTCTACTGATCTGAGATATTAAATAGCATCAGATATTTTGTTTGAAACTGCAACTGATGTTCTTTCATTATCTTGTGAAAGAATCATAGAAAAGATCTGCTGAAACTGCTTGATATCTCTGATAGAATCTGATAAGATATGATAATTGACTTTACTATTAATCTCTTTAAGAGTAAGAGTTGTAGAAACATTCTGATCATTGTGAATCAATTGAGCAAAGATATAATATTAAAATCTTGTGATAAGATAAATACTGAATAAGTCACTGAAGCTTTTCTATAGAGTCTGTTCTATTAAATATATGAATTGCTGAGATCTATAGTATTAGATCAGAGCTGTTAATTCATAAGTACAATCTGAATAAGAATCTGTCAAGTTCTCAAGATTATATGCTATCTGTTAACTATCTATCACTCTGAGACTAATAATACATCAGAATGAATAATTCAGAGTGTAAAGAATTATCTCTGTAAGTTCTGCAATTACTTATAAGATGATTGACATACTCTGCTTCTATATACAGAGATTACTATCAATGAATGAGATGCTGTTTTAACAGATATAAGCCTGTTCTCTCTTACACACAGTTATCACATGAAGATGTTGAATCTTCTAGAGATTACACAGTTCACACTGAACCTCTGCAGTCTGATTCAGATTGCTGATAATATAGTAATAAAACTCTGAGATATCTGTGACTGAGCAGAAGTCTTCATGACAACTGTGAAACAAGATCAAGAGAATTAAATCAATGTTCACTGAGACTCTGCTGAATAATATAAGATAGAAGACTTAGTGTTATTGAATCTTAAGAATATATGAATCACATATTCATCTCATACACTGAATTACTGCCATGTTAAGTATAAAGTGATAGAAGTTCTAGATAGTCATAACTACTGTCTTAACATATTATCAGACATTCATGATGTTTTTTATACAAGCTTGCTCTGCTGCACTGTCACTGATCTGTTCTCTTTTCAACTGACTTTCAACTGACAGCTGCCAGGCATCATAGAAGAAGATAATGAGCTTGAGTGAGAGACTGAGAATATTCTTAATAAGAGACTCTGTGACTGTGACTGATAATATCTTGTGAAATGAGTCAGCTATAATTAACTGACCTGAACTCTGAGTTCTGTATTATCTGAAATAGCAGTTCTTGACTGATGAAAACTGCTTCTGAAAGAGAGGGACTAATGTAGCAGACTGCACCTGATCAATTATATAGACTATTTCATTACACTTCACAGATTCCAATCACTTCATTCTCAAACATGTATACTTTGATTCTCGGCCATTCTTGATCACTGATTCTCGGCCGCCATGAACATGTATAGATTCTTCCGCCCCGAAGCCTCACTGCATATGTTATCACATACATGTATAAATATTCACTTTGATCACTGAGTCTCACACTTTCTCTTTCTTTTCCTTTAAACTCCAAGTTGAATTTTAAATATCATATTCAACAAAGAACTGTCAAGGCAGAAAGACTATTGAACAACATTATCAGACTATCAAATACAGAGAGAGGTCTATCCTTCCAGGCTATGAGACAGTTATATAGAGCCTGTATTACCTCAGTAGCTGATTATGAAGTTTAAGTTTGATGAAATAATCAAGGAAATTTCACTGAACTCTTTCAAAGTCTGCAAAACAGAGCTTTGAGAAGAATTCTGAGAGCATTCAAATCATCTCCTATTAAAGCAATGGAAATTGAAGCTTCAATTCCCTCTTCTGATATTAGATTTGAAAAGACCTGTATGAACTATGCTCTGAGAGTTATAAAGATGAGCTCAAATCATATAATCAGAGAAAGAGTCTCTTCCTCATTTCCATCAGTTAACTCTGGAAATGAACTGGATTGAAATAGATTTCTTGATTGAAATGAAAATAGTTCTTCAAAGAAAATGCCTTCTCAACTGTACAGACTATGCTCACTGATTAAAAATCAATTTTCTTCTTTAAATGTTGAAAAAGTTGATCATGAGAAGTTATCTCTCTGAAGAGAAAAGCTTGAATCTCTCATAGACTTGCAAATAAGTGAACTATCTAAAGAGAAAGAATATGAACAGCATTTGAAGAGAATTTCTACAATCAATATAAAAGACTCTATTCTGATTTATTCAGAGGGCTCAAAAAATGAGAATTTGAATAGATTAGGTGCAGGCATTGCTTATACTGAAGATAATATTAATTTTATCTCAGATTTCTGAAATCTAGGCTGTGAATCTGAAGTCTTTGATGCTGAACTATTTGCAATAGTGAAAGCTTTGAAACTTATTGAAATAAAATCTCATAAAAGAGAAAATAGTTTGAAAGAGGCATGAATATTCTCTGATAGTCAAGCTGCTTTAAAAAGACTTAGAAATAGTCAGATTTATAATGATCAAATGAATCTTGAACTGATCTTAAACTTCATTTTAAAAATTCAAAAGAGAAGAATATCAAAGCTAATAATTCATCTGCACTGGGTTCCTGCTCATATGAATATTCATGATAATAAATTGACTGATTCAGCTGTAAAAAAAGGTTCAGAATTAAGCAGATCTATTCAAAAAATTGTGTCCTGGTCTTTTATAAAGAGAAAAATAAAAGAATCTTATTTAGACAAGTGAAATGAAAGCGGGCAGAAACAAAAGAAGAGTATACATTATTCAAGATTTGAAACAAAACCCAAGTGGAAATCTTGTTCAATTAAATGTAAAAAGAAAATATTCTCATCTATAATACAGCTGAAATTAGAACATGGCTATTTCAAATCCTATATACAAAGATTTGATGATAGATTTGATTCAATAGAATGCTCATTTTGCAATGCAAATGAGAATCCTGAGTATATTGTAATGCACTGTGCATTATACAATAGTCTCAGAGACAGATTGAAAGAGAAGTATGATTTAAATCAATTAAATATGAGATTCTTATTCTCAACTGAGACAGGAATTCAATACTTAATAGACTTTCTATCAGAAACTCAAGCAGCTATAAGAAAATGACTGAATTCAGAAATATCTGAATATGAAGAGGAGGAAATTGATCAGATATAGTCTGTTAAAACAGCTATATACTATCTTTCAATAATTTGTTTCATTACAGTCTCTTATTATTTTACTTTACTTTTTTCTTTCTATTCTTTTCTACCTATCTATTTAATGTGTCTATCTTAAAGACTGTGTTCTCTTTTCTTTTGTCATGTCAAATGGTTTCAAAGTATCAGAAGATGTTAAAATACTGCAATTTGTAAACAGTTTTTATATTCTGGGCTGGAATTTTCTGATTTTGCATATCTGAAATTGATGAATGTATAATAGTTAACTTTATAGATATAGGAAAAACCCTGAGAACTTTTAGTTCTCAGGTAGATGTCATAGTCTCTGACTGCATACATCTATAATTGAAGAATAATAATAATAATCTTTCTTTTCCTTCTCTAATGTTTTTCTCTTTGTTATATAAGACCTATAAATATTATACCGATCTATTTAGCGTAGACCTCTTACACTATGAGATCTATGACAAGAAACTTCTTACAATTGTACACTGTCTAGAAGAATGAGACTCTGAACTTCAAAGTATCTTCAAATTTGAGATAATCACTGATTATAAGAATCTCAAGCATTTCACAATTATCTGCAGACTTATTAAATGACAGATGTGATAATCTGAGCTATTAAGCTGTTTTCATTTCACTATACACTATTACTCTGACAGTCAGAACTCAATGACAGATACTCTCTTATAATAAGAGTAAGATATGTTATCTGATGTAACAGACATGTGTTGAATAAATCAAGAACACTGACTCTTGAATCTGAAGATATTTGTCAATCATGATAAGACTATTTATAACACTATATATACTTTGCTGATCAGAACATCTTCTGAATCTACACTGAATAAATTATGACATATAACAGCTCAAACTGATAAACTTCTTTAAGCACTTACTGAAGTATTATATTAAGAAGCACTCTGATTCTTCTCAGAACTATGTATAAGAACTGATATCTTAAAATACTCAATTAATAACAGTAATGCTCTGCAATTCTGTGAATAATGCTGAGTCTCTTACTTCAAACTCTTATACATCTGAATAATACAAGAGATGCATGATTCTTATATAACTGATTATTCAGGTTATGAATAACTGTACTGAATAATCTCTCAAGAGTTCTACTAATCTGAGATATGAAACAGTATCAGACATTTTATCTGAAACTGCAATCATTGTTCTTTCATCATCTTATAAAAGAACTGTAGAAAAAACCTGCTGAAACTACTTGATGTTTCTGATAGAATCTAATGAGATGTGATAATTGATCTCACTGTTGATCTCTCTGAGAGTAAGAATTGTAGAAATGTTCTGACTATCAAGAACTAATTGAACAAAGATATAATATTGAAATCTTGTAATAAGATGAATACTGAACAAGTCACTGAAGCTTTTCTACAGAATCTGTTCTATTAAATGCATGAATTACTGAGATCTATAGTATCAGATCAGAGCTGTTAATTTGTGAGTACTCTCTGAACAAGAATCTGTCAAGTTCTCAAGATTATATGTCATTTGTCAACTGTCTATCACTCTGAGACTGATGATGTATCAGAACAGACAATTCAGACTGTAAAGAATTATCTTTATAAGTTCTGTAATCACTTATAAGATGATTGATATGATCTTCTTCTACACACTGAAGTCACTATCAATGACTGAGATGCTGTTTCAACAGGTGTAAGTCTGTTCTTCCTCATATATAAATATTATATGAAGATATTGAATCTTCTAGAGATTACACATTTCACACTGAACTTCTGCAGTTCAATTCAGATTACTGATAATATAGTAATGAAGCTCTGAGATGCCTGTGACTGAGTAGAAGTCTTCATGACAAGTGCTAAACCATTCAAGCATCACAGAGTCCGAACCGCTCCACCACGAACTCGCTCGATTATTCGAATAAGAACCCGCCGATAGATCCATCGAAAAGCCCTCGTTCATACGAGCATTTTGACCCCATCGCCGACCGCATACCCCGTGTGGTGGTGGAGTTATCCAGCCAAACATGAACCAGACATTGTTCGAAACTCCTGTGTGGGATTATCCCCCGTTCTCCCCTACCACACCACAACCCCGGGCCAAATTGCCATACAAATTGTAAGGTGAAGAGACCTAGCCATATGCACCAATCTTCTCCATTTTGGAAGATCCCCTGTAATTGTGGAGATATCTGAGGAGCAACCTCCGCGAAAACCCTGTCCATCTTTGATGTTCCAAAACACCAACACCAAGTCCCACCCTTGTACCGCCCTTCCCAATCTGGCCCATCCCTGGCAGAAAAATACAAAAAGATACCTCAGTGATAATATCAACTAGACTGGCCGCCGGGACCATGAATTTCACGTTTGGTCCCATTTGGTCTGGTCCCATACATTTCTTGGCGTGAATCCCGCTGGGACTGGCTATCAAAAAAACATGTAAAGTGACTATATATCAGATCTTAAAATGAAACCATGACTTGAAAAAAATGAGAAAGTGGTCCCATTTGGTCCCATTTAGTCCCATTCTTGGCATAAAGTTACTATTTTTAGACATTTTAAGGTTTTTTTTAGACTATTTTTAATTTTTTAAAAAGTAACACTTTTTGATAATGCTCAAATGAGATTTAAAGTCATTTAAAGCAATAAAAATAATTTAAATTGAGAAGTGGAAATCATGGTCTCATTTGGAAAATGTGACAAGAGTAGACAGTAAGTCCCACTGGGACAGTATGAGACTACTATCTAATGTTAAAACTGTGTAATGGGATCAGTCGAATTGGTAATGAGACTATCAAAAAATCTGGTCCTGGTCCCAGACACGGTCACACGGTCAGTCTAATATCAACTACATAATCAACAGACACTTCTGAAGTCCAATCTCTACAATCTGTCTTCAGTGTATCTAGACATCAATACCAAGTCTCACTCTCATACTGCCCCTCTCAATCTGGCCCATCCCCGGCAGATTAATACAAAAAGATACCTTGGCAACAGTATTCAATACATAATCAGCAGACAATGAGTTAATAGAACAAGTTAACAGCATATCAACAACTATAAATTCAGTATACTTCAAGATCTGACTGAGCCTTTAATCCCTGCACAGTGAGATATATTAAATCTAGTTTTAATATCTCAATATTCAATAGATTCTGTAAGAGATTGAGAACAGCAATACTAGATTTCTATTGAATTTAAGAATTAACTCTGTATTGATATAATCATCAATAAAGTCTTCTATTTTGAGATATAAATAATCAGTTTCTCTATATCCTGCTGATAATATTTGTATTATTATATAGAAACAGACTTATATTCTCTATAATATCAAAACTCTGAAGAGAGAAAGTTATGATAGAGAGTATACAGTAGTACATATTTTAGCAGTTTCTATCTCATTCTTCTGCAGCAGTTATTGTAAAAAAAAGATCTTAGAAATAGTTTTTTACTTCTCTTGAAAAAGTAAGATATTTTTCTCTGAGTTTTATACAATATTCTTACAAAGAATTAAAAACAGAGTTATTTTCTGTTATAATTTCATATTCTTTTAAATAAGAATTACTTTTTCAGTGACTGAAGAGCTTTTATTAATACTTAATTCTTTTTTACACTCTTTATTAACTGATTTAAGTTGCACACTTGTTATGTGAGAAGAATTAAATAATTTAGAATAAAATTGAATAGTTTTAATGAATTTCTCTGCAAAAAATTGATTTATTTTTTATCAGTTTTTCTCTTAAAAACTGTTATATCATCTAATTTATTATTAATTGATATCATACTTTTTCTTACTATATCTCAAGAAAGAGATTGTAAAGATTTTATTAATTTATCTTAAAAATCAATTTTAGTTTATTAGATTCTCTTCAAAAATCTAACCTAGTTACTGAACTAGTGTGAAAAAAATCAGGTGTTTTATACACAAAAGTCTTTTATTCTTCTTTTGAAACAGTCTGATCAACTTTTCAATTCAAAAGAGTTTAATAAATATCTTAATTAAATCAGTCTGATCAACTTTTCATTGAGTAAGAATAATGAGTTCAAAAATACACTTAGTTAATGTGAAAAAAGATGTTTTCTTAAATACTATTCCTGAGATTAACATTCTGAAGAGAAGAAAGAAAGAAGAAATAGAGAAATAATAAGTTCTTGAAATACAGAAACTTGAAAAAGTAGATAAGATTCTTGAAAAGCAGTGTCTGAGTGAGATGAATGAAGAAGTTCTGTTAATTCTTCATACTCAGACTAGATAACTACAGAAAGTAATCAAGTTTAAACTTGGAATTTTAAACACAGTTCTAAAAACTTTGAAAATTTCTAATATAATCACTGACTCTTCAGTTTGCTCTTCTTTCTTTTCTACTTTTTCTTCTTCTTCTTCTTTAAATCAGAAGAAAATATATGCTTAAGTAGCTGAATCTACTATCTCTAAACCTACTATCTCTAAATCTACTATCTCAAAACCTGCTCAAAATTCTGAGAAAACTGAGAAGAATACTGCTCATACTTCTATTGATAGAAGAGTGAAGAAAAAAATGTAAAAAGAGAAAAATCTTCAAATCTTCAGAAATAGAAGACTTATTCTCAAAGTCTTAAATCAGAATATCTTACAGAGAAATAAGCTAAACTCAAATCTCATTTTCAGAATTAGAAATGAAATTAATCAGCAGTTCTTTTCTCAGTTAATAACTGATATTGAAGTTCAAAAATCAGTTATAGCTTCAATTGAGTCATTCTTCTTTAAAAACTTCATTATTCTAATCACAATGTCTGAATTTAGTGCAGAATTTCTTATTCAGAATAAGAATCTCTGAAAATCAGCAGTAGAATCTTTGTTAAACATAATAATTCTATCTGAGAGAGATGAAAAGTGAGATAAATTCATTCTTCATAATATTTCAGTTGAAATCTTTGACTGTGAGAAAGAAATGCTACTTCTTAAAAATGAATTAGAAGAATACAAATCTATTCAACTGAGAAAAGAGTCTGTATAACTTAATTTAATTAAGTTCAGACAGAGTAGAAGAAATATCTCTGTTCTAGTGTATATAAAGACACTTAAATAATCAAGAATCTCTGAAGTAAGAGTAGCAGGGTTGAAAATGAGAGTTCATGAATATAAAGACTCAAGAATGAATCTCAAAGCTCAAACACAGTATTCAAACTATCAAAGATATGAATACTTTGTAATCTCTTATTTCAGAGACTTAAAATATGCATTCTGTGCTAGAGATCATAAAACTAGTGAGCATAAATGTGAAACATGCTTAAAAAGAGATGAAATATGTTAATATACTCTGCTTAAGTGCTTCAATTGCAAAGAAAAACATGCATCTAGCTTAAAAGAATGTGTATTTACTTCAAGAACTCAGAAGAACTGAAGAAAAGATGAAGTTTAAAGTGAATCTAAAACTGAAGAGAAAAGTCAAGCTAGTAAATCTACAACTGTAAACTTAAAAAGAAGAAATTCTCAACTATCTAGATCTTCAAACTTCAATTCTTCAGCTAAGTGTAAACAGAATTTGAATTCTCAAACTTCTGTTAAGATTAGAGAATTGAGAAATAACTCTGATAATAAACTAGATATAATGCAAGCAGTTGAGATTTCTACTTTTCAAAATAGTTATAATCTACTATCTGATGATAGTGATTAGATTCTACTCTATTTCTACTCTCTTTTAGTATGAATATACAATAAAAACAACAAAAAAAGTTTAAAAACTCTTCAAAAATCACATTTATTCAAAATAATGTGAATATAAACTCAAATTGCATTTATTCTTGTCTTCAGATTATATTTGAATAAAAAGTTGACTTTGTACTTCTTCAAGAATCAAACTTTGATACTGAGTAAAAGTATATTATTTCTTATTCAAGCTATTACTGCTTTCTTTCAGAAAAATCTAAGATAAAATCAAGAGTAGTGATCTATGAGAGAAAAAGATCAAGATATTAATTTAATTTGAGATTTGATATTGTATCTGACTCTGATATTCTAGTGAGTGATATTATAGATAAAGAGAATGAGTTTGATACTATTTAACTTATAAATATCTATAATAAAAAGTTATTGAAAGAAAACAACAATATCTGAATAATTGACAGAGAATTTTTGAATATAACTCTCTTAAAAAACTCTATAATTGTAGAAGACTTCAATACACATTATCTCTGATAAAACTCAGAGTGCATAAGAGCAGTAAGAGTAGATAAACTGATTGAATGAACTTTTAAGCATTTAATAGATTTAGTTAACAAGTCTGATCAACAAACATTTTTTAGAAAAGATATAAAATAGAAATCTATTATAGATGTAACTTTCATATCATAAAATCTAATTAAAAAAAGACTTATAAACTGATTTATTGATTCAAATGAAATCTCAGAATCAGATCATGAGATCATTCAATTTAATATTGAACTGAGTGAAAAATAAAGAAGTGAAAATTCTCTGCTCTCTAATCAGTATAACTGTGAAAAAGCTGATTGAAAATCAGTTGAAGAAAGAGTAAAACAGCTGAAATCTGAAAGACAGAGTGAGCTCTATTGAAATCAAAGTCAAGATATCTCAAATGAAATACTTGAGAATAGAGTAAAGCTGATTACATCTATTCTTCTAACAAGTATTGAAGAAAATATTTCAAAGAAAAAGTCTTCTGAGTATTTCAAATCTTGATGAAATGAGAATATCACTTCTAAAAGAAAGTAATTAGTCACTGCTAAGAGAGATTAAATGAATAACTTAATATCTAATGAAGAGTTCAAAGCTATTTGAAATGAATATTTTTCAGATATTAAAAGAGTTAAAACAGATTGCTGAAACAAATTTCTTGAGAAAGTATAAGAAAAAGAAGTTTTTAAAGTCTTCAACTATACTAAAACAAGAAGTGTAGTAAAGCTTTCAACCTTAGAATATGAATTTCAGAATGAATCATATACAGCAAACTCTTTTAAGAAAAAGTGTTAAGCTTTTATGAGAATTCTCTTTCAAAACTCATCACATTTAGAAGAGAAGAATATATCATTTCATGAATATATTGATGAAAATAACTGAGAATGATCTGAGCTTATATAAGATGAACTAGAGTCAGTAATATTCTCAAGTTCAATTAAAACTGCTGCAGAGCCTGATTCAATTTATTACTTAATTATTCAAAACACATATTTCTACTTGAGAAATGAATATTTTGAGCTCTTTTTCAATCTCTTAAAAAATGATTATTATTCTGAATACTGAAGAGAAGCTACTGAAGTAATCCTTGCAAAATCTAATAGAAAAGCTTTAATTTCTAAGTTATATAGAGTAATATCTCTAT